TTGAGGCTGTGGATAATTTCAAATATTTGACTGCAGCCTAGCCATGCATCTTTGTCTTAAGAACAGTTTTTCTTGAAAATATTTGAAATGGCCCCTTCAGAAGGTAAAATTCTGTAAGAGTCAATAGTAATGGCCATGTCAGGCCACCTGTGCTGGAAACAATAAATGAGGTTGTGTCCTGCCTTCTCTTAGACTCGGGATGAGAACTTGAGATGCAGATTGAGTTATTTTTAAAATTGAGAATTTTGTGAGTGCTCTAGTAATGCTTGGTGCTGGTCTCAGAGCTCACCACAGTCCCAAAGCAGAAACCCTGCTGCGGAGCTGGGAGCTGAGTAAGAATTTCTCCCGTTTGCTCCTCTGTCCTCCAAGCATAGTCCCCTCACTCCTTTGCTTTCTCTTTGCTCAGCTCTGTACAGAGAAGCTGAATGTTTACAGTGCAACTGCTAAAACATCACCTGAAAACTTTATTGCTGCTGTCAGCAACTTCTCCACCAGTTCAGTTTGAGAGAGCACTAACAGAAGTAAGACTGAGATGTTTTCATAACTTACTGATGAGAGTGTCTCCAGGCTCTTCTCATACATTAACATTGCAGCCTGCTTCACTTCTCTTCCTATATTCACTTTGGGATATATAGAAAATAAGGCTATAATAATGCTGTCCTTTCTTGTCTTCTTTCACAAACATTAATCCCATGATTTTTTATCAGTACAAAATAACCCTGGAGATAGGGCAGTCTGTGGATCAGCTTCTATGAAACTAGAAAACTGAAATTATTGTGTTTAATTGCGTGTGAAAGTCAACTTTTGTCAAAATCTCTAGCTGTGACTGGGTGCTTACAAAATGCAATGTATTCTTTTCTTTAGCAGATCACCTAAATACATTTTACTAGCAACCCTTTTGAACCAGATGAAACTGTAATTCAAGCTGTCTTGTCTGCTTCTGCTTTAGTTCACAATAATGTCACTATGCTGCTCACACCAAAGCCTCACACCAAAGTTTTTATCTCTAACAGCTACATCAGATATTTTGTCCTAGTTTTTCTTCAGGTCATTGCTGTTAAGGTATAAAATAAAAAAAAAACAACCCAACAACCCAACCAAACCCCAACAATCCTCCATTCAGTTATATTTTTAATGTAAAAGTTTTGTTACTCCATCAGTGTGACTTTGCAAGCTCCTCCCAATCTTCCAGTGACTTCTGCCAGCCGTCACAGAGCAATTCTCCATCTGGAATATAGGAAATGTTTCTGCAACCAACAAATGAAGTTAAAATATTATGTTTCTTCCAGGAATTGTGCCTTGACATGCTGCTTGGCTGAACATCTTCAATCCTTCAAGGTTTTCCTCATACTTTTTTGAACATATACGTTAAAGGGTGGGGGACACCATGGCCAAGGGCTGAGGAGAGGACAGGCAGCAGGCAGGGCTGGCTTCTTGCTGGTGCTCTGCTGCTCCTGTGAAGTAGTGCCTCAATTTCTTGAAAATTAACAATTTGTTAAAATCCCAATAATAGCAAAAAGGAAAAAGAAAGTTCTGATTTAGGAAAAAACATCTGACGTTTGGGGATGTTTCTCCCCTATGTTATTTTTCCTTTGATTTCAGGCATCTTTCGCAGGATGAACAAGTGGAGCAAAATTCTTACCTGGCTGAAGGAGAGAGGAAGTTTTACAGAGAAATTCCTCTTTACGTGGTTTAGCATAAAGTCAGCAGATCTCTGTTTCAAAAATGGCAGTGCACTGGGATTTATTGTTCAGAATAAGGAGGGGAAAAAAGTAACATCCCGCTCTACCGTTGACAAATTTGCAGCGAGGACCCCATTGAAAGCTGGTGGTTTACATCTCATATAACTTGAAATAAAGGAGTCACTCACACATTCATAATCAATACAATTACTTCTACTTTACATGAATTAAGTAATTTGTATGGCATTACTGTTTGGGGCATTTGTATCCCTATTCAGAGCAGTTTTTCAGTATTTCAGTCCCACTGATGGTAAAGGCAGGTGCATGCCAGTTACCCACAAAACCAAGGCAAAGCTCTATGGGGAAACTCTTTTATGTTCATCTAGATTTGAATTTGTAGTCCCTTTCCAATTACTGCGCTAATTGTTTAAGAGATTGCTAGACTAAAAAAGTTTTTAATCACTAATCTGTTTTTGAAAGGAACTTATGGGCTCAAAACCCGAACTACATACTTCTTAAATTAATTTTCTTCGTGAATACTTCTTTCTCAATACAGATTTGTGAGTCAGAACACCCTACTGTGCTTGTTTCTTTGTCTTTTCTTCAAACACCTGGCCTATTATTCTCTTTTTTTTTTCTCCCAACAAAATCGCTCTTTCTTTGTAGGCAAGGTTCTGATGATATTATGTCACTGGAAATAAGGAAATTTACCCAACGGCCTATGGTACCAGAACTGAATTTGGAGCAGAGAACAAATTGAACAAACTTGACAATTCAGCCAAATGTGAGCCTACAACAGAAATATTTGTCAATGTTTCCTGAAGAGATATCAATATGCTGCAGGATCTTCCAACAAAACACCTTGAAAAATTGTGACATGAAGTGAAAGCCAATAGGTTTAATTTGGAGATAGAGGTTTTTCCTTAGTGGGATGGTGGCTGTAGAAGGTGGATGGGGTTGGGGGTGTGCTTAGATCTTCTGTGTGGCTTTGAAAATCCTCCCATATATTTTTGCTCTCAGGAAAACCAGACAAACCCAACAAAACAACCAGGACTCTAGGCCTACTTCAGTTGAAACCTGTGCTGGGAAAAAATCTTGATTTCACCAAGAGAAGATCTGGGCTGCGACCCTTCCTTATTCAGAAGAGAGGCATAGGGGCAAATCCTGCAGTCTTAATACAGATCAGTGTAGGCTTTGCCTAAATTAGGACTAAAGAATTTAGTGCACAAAGCAAGATAAAGTGTTGGGAAATAATTGCAATGTTCAGTGTGAGACACTGTAAAATGGCTGACCTGTTTAGGATGTGGGAGGCTGCACACCCCATTGCCCTGAGAAAAACTAGGAAGCAAATGTCCTGGCTTGGTTCATGGCAAAGCTGTTGACCCACGTACAGCTATGAAATTAGGCTGAATGTTTTTCAGTTAATTGCTCCTCAACATTTTTAAAATGTAATTTTAATACTGTGTCCATAATAGATGGTAATTAAGCCTCTTGATTTAAATTTAAAACATACTGAATAAGTAAATCTTCTTCCCTTGGTGTGATATATCATTGTAAGATGGTAATAATTAACATGAAAAGCTTTCTGAGTTTTGGTTACAGACACACTGATTCCTAAGCTTATTTCAAGTGTTGCCCTGCATATTTATTTTCATAATATCATTAGCTCTCACAGCTGGATTTCAATTCACACGAAAGAATAGAAATTTCTTGGAAGGACTCATTAAAGCAGAAAAAATGAAATCAGCTTAAAGAAAACCTCTCTGCACTTCAAACTAAAACCAGATGAAACATCAATAAGCTATATTCTCTACCTGTACCCATTAGGAACTGCTGATGATTGGAGACACTGTCTTCCATGCAGACAGCACAGGAATGACAGCTCCCATTTAATCAGGAACAAGGAGCAGAGGGTGTCTTAGAAGAAAGGTGCCCTCTTGTAAGGAGAATTAGGACAGAGCAACAACCAGTCAAAACTGGCAAGGGTTTAGGAGCCAGCCCTGCTGTGCAGCCCTGCAGTTCCCAGTGGTGTTGCAGTGGCTGTGTGTGCTGGGTAGAGGTAGCAGCTCCCAGCTCTGGCAGGAGCTGTCATGCACATGAGTGAAGTTACTTTGCAGCTGTGTGTTTAATTGCTGTTCCTGAAATTATTTCTATCCATAGCTATTGGAAAAATTTTGTTGATAGATGAAAGTTATCTTTGATGTAACTGCTGAAATTTAGCTTGTGAATTTGATCCACTCACATGCCTGAGTGTGATCTCTGTGCCCTGTAGTCAGTAATGAAGATTTTAATGATTACATAGGACTTACTATTTCATGCAATGTATTAAAACAACCTTCAGCTGTTATTTTTCACATTCTACTTCCAGTGAATTTTGTCTAGGAATTTGGCAAAAATACCTGGGTTTTATTATTATTGCAGAGTTCTTTTCTCAGTGGCTCATGGCAAATGCAGGACAGTTTCTGCTACTTTAAATGAAACAGTGAGAGAGTCTTCTTTCCTGCAGAACCTCTTTGCATTGCAAGAGCCAGACACTGGTGGTAAGGAAAGATGCCACAGAACAGGAGTTGTGTAATGACAGTTTTCAAGCCATTAACCTACTTAAAAGGTTAATTTGGAACAAACTCAGTGCTTGAATGGATACCGTGTTGTGCTGCCAGTTGGCAGCCTGGGCCATGAGAGTGGACTGGTGGAAGCAAATAGCTGTTGTGGAAGAAACACACTTAAACTTTGTGTGAGAGGTCCTGGTTACATCACTTCCCCAGCCTCCTGCTGCTCCATGCACAAGCACAGCCTCAGTGCTACTCGGGTGGGAAGCTGGCTTTTCCTAACAGTGAAATGCCACCACCTTCTCCTACCTGTGAGGTCTACAAACCCAGAAATACTTCCACTGTTTTGGTAGGTTGTGACTCAAGAGCAGCCCAAGCAATGAGTATTCCAGAGGAAATGGAAAACTGATCTGTTTGATCCAGCAAACTGCCTTCTCTGTCATGTACCCAAGTACAAGCTTGGCAGAGTCTCCAGAAGCAGCAGTGAGGTAGCTGGAGCTCTGCACCTCAACCTGTAGTCTTAAGAATAGTCCCAGAGCTGCCTGGAGAAACAAGTTCTAAAATATACAAAATCTTTTCAGTGTAAGTGTATTTGAGGATGGTTTTGAGGAATGAGGCAGCACCAATGGAGGAGTTCAATGCTGTCCCATCAACCCACAGAAACAGAGCTTGCTTGGACCCCAGCTAGAGGTGTGGGAAAGGTGATCTGCATGTGCAACCAGCTATTGGCCTTTCTTTTGTAACTGCTAAGCAACAATTAGCACTTGTATAACTCTGCCATTTGCACAGTGTCATGTTTGTTTAATCAGTCCTCACAACAGCCCTGTGAGGTAGGCGAGAAAGCTGCAAAAGGAGGATACTACTTATCCTCACTTTACACTAAAGCATCAGACCTGTAGAGAGTTGTTCTCAGTCCCATGTCCTGGATGGAGAAATTCAGCAAAGACTTTAAAACGACCTGTCTTGAGGCCAGAGAGGAATCCAGGATTTTGAAGACTGTAGACACTTGCTCAGTAAAGACTCAGTTTTCATTCATTCCAACATCAGTCCAAGGAAGAATTTAACACTTCACATTTAGTTTTCACTTAAATTCTGAACCTACTCAAGGCATGAAATGTCTCAAAATGTACAAGTAATCTGTTAACTTACTGGTCTCGTAAGATGTGCCAGAAATCTTGCTATAAGTATTCAGCAACTTCATATTTACAGCTCTGAGCTACTGATTGACAAGTATGTACATACACGGAGAACTACACACATTTTGCTGCACACTGATAACCTACTTCCACAGATAGTTTTCATACACAAAGGTTAAACTTTTTTAACTATTAAAACATTGCCACCCTGAACATAAAGCAAACTTTTTTTAAAAATTCGAAACAAGGTACTCTTTGTACAAACCTAGTTCTGAATCAAAAGGCCATACTGAAAACAGTCCCCATCTCGTTCCTGCTAAGTCTGTCTAGAATGCAATATTTCACTGGCATTTGCACTTCAACATGAAGCATGGTCTCCAAGTTAATAACTGTGTACAGATTCTTACATCTCAAGTACTGCATGTAAGAGTTCCTCCTGAGAAGTAAGTTAAGAATTGCTTAGAAAACTGCTTATTTCTACAAAGAATTTGGAACCTTTGGACTAGCATCTGGTGAGTCTGGTGTTTCAAAGCTTCAGATTCATGTTGGCCTGATTTACAAAGAAGAGATAGTTCCTGTTTCTGCAGTGTGAGAAATTATGCAAGCCAACTTACTACCTGATTTAATGTTGTAATGAAGGAAAACCATCTTTAGCAGGGTTATTCCTTTCAGTCCGTTACTGAAGATACAGGAACTACAGCTCTGCGTGTGTGTGTGTTTTCTTTTTTTTTAAACGTGTCTCTCTAACGAGAGCTACTTATTGGAGAAGGCATTCACTTCCCCCTCCGTGGCTGTAGTCTGTGGGAGAGCTCCTAACAAAGTTCTTTGTTAGTGTTTGTAAGACTGGAGATGAGGTTTAATTGAGGGATTTGTGCTGAATGTTCTTTCGCTTTGAGTCTTAGTGCTGCAATGCTTGACGTTTTCCTTTCAACTGCTGCTGGATCAGTGAAGGCAGTAAGAGCAGGGTCTGACGGGGGTCCAGGAGCTTTCATTAGTACTGAAGCTGTTGTCACGAGAGGATTTAAAGCATTGAGAAACCTGTATTTGAAAGAAGTCAATATTATCCAAATTAAGAATTGTTTTGGAGAACAAGTGCTTACTGAGTTGCAGCTTCCCCCACCCAAAGTATTAGAAAAAAATGTGCCAAAATTTCCAATTTCTTCCACGTGTACATTTTGTTTTAGCTTGATTTTGCAGCATAGTCTCTTGCCTTTAAAAAACCAAACCAAACCAAAACCAACCAGAAACCCCCACCCTAAATAAAAAACCAAAACACTTTTAAATAAAATGAAAAAGAGATGATCAGACATGGCATGCAGATACCTAGAACAGCATTTGCTTAACTCCTCATGCTAAATCCTTTCTAAACAAACCTGGGATGCTGCAGATCAGCCTGTTCTCTGAAAGCAATAAACCATCTCATAAAAAGACCAATTTATATGGCTGTTTATGCAGCCAATTTGTTCAGATCAACTGATTCCATGTGAAAAGCAGCATTTGTTAGTCTGTTAATGTGGAACTACCATACAAGCTCCAATTTCAGCAAGAGTGCTGTCTTCTGTTTTTATAAATATTTTTGTATTTTAAAAATACATATATTTATATATCTACATACCTATTACATGTATACACATACACTATACACATGCTTTTTTCCTATTTTATGGGGTACACTAGAGCAGCAGTAGCATTTTGCTGATAAATTTCAGGTTGCCAGGCAAGAAAGCCCAGACAGCAGGTTCAGCCAAAATGAATTGCTGGGGTGTCTGACTACAGAGAAAGAAAAGGAGACTGGCTGTGGGCTCGTTCTGCGTGCTGAGAGCACATCACCTGCCAAGGGAGATGGGCTGGCTTTTAGTAGGACATGTAAGAGTCAGGAAGATCTCTCAATCTCTCTCTCTCTCCAGCTGTGTCTCTATACATAGCCAGGCTCCTAGTCTTCTGAGAAGAAATGTTAAATACCTTTATTCTGTCAAATCACCTACACACCACGTCTGCCTGCAGCCACATCTTTATGGTGTATAACCTGAGTTAGCCTGAGATAAGGATGAAGCTGCAGCCACCCAGGTCACAGCAGTCTGTGTGAAGACTAGAGTTCAGTGAGACCAAAATTGCAGTAAGTATGCACAACTGGTCTTCAAAAAACAATTACATGTTAATTTTTTACTAGCATGACAAACTTAAATCTTGTTATTCCTAATCAAGCTATCCTACATGGGAACTAACCCATTTTATTAAGTTTATTTCTCTATGGGAACACATTTATTGAGAACATGTGAGTATGAAACTAAAAAAAAAAAGCAGCATTTTTTAATGGTTTAGAGATTTAGAAAAAAAAAATTGATTCTGTACCTTCCAAAATGTGGATTTAAAATAGGATTTCTGAAGAGAGAAGTCCAGGTAAGGCTGTTGAGGCCAAATGGCCCTAAGGTTGAAGGACTAAAAGCTGGAGACATGGATGGCACAGCCAATGTTGAAAGAGGCATTGACCTCCACGTGGGATCTAGGAGGGGAGAATGACTCAGTGGAACATCCAAAAATAGACCAAGTGGGTGTGTTAAGGAGATTCCTGGAACAGTCCCCAGAATTTCATTTTTTTCACGTTTTCTCCACTTTGCCCTTCTGTTTTGGAACCAGACCTTCAATAAAAAATTATAAAGGCATTAGATGAACTTACTCTGTAGCTTGTCTTACCAGATACTACTGCATGCATTGATGCAGGTAGCAAAATATTTACTGTTAAACCAAAACCCCCTTCCTTTAATACAAAAGATCCATTCATAAATGCCTTAGTGGGTTTATTAACAAATAAATCACTTGCAAGTATTGTAAATTTGTCTACTCACATATGTTTTAAAACCATTGTAATACCTATCACCTGAAAACTCATGAGCAGTTATTAAAAATTATCATTCTCCCTTTCATAAGCTATTTATTGAAAGTTAAACTTCAACAAAGCCATTCAAGAGGTGGCTATTTCTGTACAGATACCTCAGGAAGGAACTTAATCGTGACTGTAAGAGTAACTAGGCCAAACATATATGTGCTTTTTATCTTGGTAGCTGTGTCATACAGTTTTATGTAGAGAATTCAAAAGTAAAATGAGAACTTTTGCTACCTACCGTGAATGCAAACAGCACATGAAAGTGATTAACTGAATTGCACTGAAAGGCAATACTAAACTAGAAAATCTAGTAAGCAGTATTGGAACAGGGTATCAAGCTGTTTCTAATAGGGCTCTAGCTACTATTAGGTTTGTGTAGTATGCTGGTATGTTGCCTCTTCAAGCCTGACCAGTCATTACTTTAGCCCATTAAACATCTTTTAAAGACTTTAGTCAACTAAATCTACAGATCAGAAAACTGAGGCTTCACACTTATTCTTTAGCATTCACTGAGCAGACTCAGTGAATGCCAAAGATGGCAGACTCAGGATGGCAGCAAAGAGGAGTGAAGAGTATCAGCTCTAAAGTGAGGGAGAGAGAATCTAAATTGAGGATATATAAAAATGCCAAAAATATGAACACAAAAGGTGTTGAACACTCAACATCCAAATGTAACTCAGCAGCTCAGGTTCCTCCAGCCCCCTCGGCAGTGGAGGCCGTTGGAGGTGGATTCTGAACTGGATCTGGATTTGGAAGACAGGCATTACCTGTGGCCCATAATCTCATTCAGCAGTCTGGTATATAACTACTGTTGCAATTCAGTGAGCTGCTTGCAAGCACCTCCTATGTATAAAACTTGAATGCACTAATCAGGATTCAATATTATAAATAATAATGATAAATAGAGAGTGGTAACACAAGGAAGAAGAGTTGTTTGAAAGGCCAATTTGTGTCCTGGATAAAATTATGACTCTCTAAAATTTACTTCTGATTTACAGCAAAGGTAAACTTCAAATATGAGGGTCTTTTACCATAATAATGTAGATGACTTCTTAATAAGAATCTATCAAGGCCACTAAAGCAAACTAAAATCATAAAATTAAACTGCAAAAATTAAAGTATCAAAAAAATTACAACATGTTCTAAAAGTAGTTATTCCTTGATATTGGTATTTCTGAAATAGTAAAATTCTATAGAAATCTGTATTATGACTTTGGATGCAGCAGTTTTACAGATGCATGCTTTTTCAATAGTTTCTTTTTGTATCCTCAATTACATTTCAGCCAAAAAAATGTTTTCAAAGAGTTTTAAATAACAGCTAAAAATCAGGTTTTTGGGGGTCCCGGTTTCGCTGTTTGCTTTATCTCAGACATGCCATATAACCATTTCCAGAAACGTGACTTACCTTCAGGTGCTCAAATAAGATGAAGTGTGTTTGGAGGGAAGGCCCTTCACACACTGCAGCACGCCCAGCCTTTGTGTCCCTCTGTCAGTAACAACTGCCTCCTTCAAAGCACTCGCTCTGGGGTTTTCAGGAGCCAGCTGAAGGACTACTACTCTACTCCTTTCAATGCATCTAGTATCTTTACACTGTGAGTTGCTGTTCTCCTGGAGGAGGGATTTATATCCCTTGGGTTACATATGTAACTGTCTCGCTGCACAAGCAATGGGCAGAGGGAGGTGTCTTTAGCAGAAAAGTCAGAACATCAAAATTGTGACGCTGTTACTTAAAATTCCTGAGTGCTTTGACTCATTCTTTGGTCCTTTCTCCAGCAGCCTGTGGCTTTCAGTGGTCAGATGTCTTACAAAGGAATATCTGAACCCCTGAAATGCCAGGCAGCTGTGCCCGTGTGACAGGGAGGACACTTGGTCTGTATTAGTCCAACACAGGGGGGTGGTAAGAAAAAAAAAACCCTCAATTACTGAGATCAGATGACTTTAAATCACTATTAACCAGTAATCCTAAATATTTGTAAGTGGAGCTTAGCTAAGATCTCATAGCAGAAGATCAACTCAAAGGTGTTAGTGTTTTCTGTGAAAATAAAGTCCAGTTGAAAAGGCAGTGAACTGTCTCGCACTGCAGATATGCAGATACAGCCTTTCCTAAAAAGGATAAATGCTGCCGAGGTGTACATGACCTTACTAAATCTTAGCACTGTTCTTCAATCTGTTCTTGATAAAGAAGCCTAACACAAAATGAGATATCTGCTTTCCTGCTTTCTCTGCCTAAAGGAAATCCATTTGATCACTGCAGTGCAGACGTGCACTCTAACTACAAAATAATTTTTTTAATGTTACAGGTAATTTCGCGCTTAAAACCAAACTTTAGTCATCTTTCAGATTTTTTATTTATCAAACAGGAAGGAAATGCCAGCATACATATCTAATAATTACCTTTAGAAAAAGGCTGGCTTTCAGTTCCTTAGTGGTACAAACATCAATGCAAGTGGTAATAGAAGAGCAGATCCGCACCTCATACCTTACACTGACGTGAGAAACAGCTTTCAAAATCTACTGCATACATTATAGTCATTAACATTCAGATTAGTCATCTTGAACCTTTTGTTAAGTGGTTTTCCTTTGCTTCAAATAAAAGGCTTAACTTGCCTTTACTCTATTTTCAGACACATCTCAAGTGCCAAACTAACCGTAACAGCAACTGCTATACCAGTCTTAAGATTTTTATGGTATGACTGTAATATCAGTGGTAAAATAACTGTGGAAAAAACGCATTACTTACTACTCAAAGATGAGTTTTAAACCATCAAGTTTGAATTGTATGCTAAATATTACCCAGACTTTATTTGCAATTACAGCATATCTGACAAGAGATTTAGGTCTTTCATAAAGGAAAAGGTGAGCATGTAAAATTTGATAGCTTTCTTGCTGTAATTTTCTTTAAAAATGTATCCTATTTAATTGATGTAATACCTAATGACGCTAAAAAGAAACAGATGTGTCTAACTGTATCGTGTTTCTGCTGCAGCTGAAAAAGAGGGTTATAATGAGAAAATATGACAAGGATGCCCAGTTCCATTATATCTGTAAGCTCATGTTTTAAAACTGATGCGATTTATGGTACTGAAATACCCATGGAATGTTTTACTGCTCACGTTAACAAAATAACATATTCTTTTAACTTTTTCCTGTTTTCCTCCCATCCTAACAGTACGAATTATGAGAAGCAGAATGGCAACAACAGATGCAAATGCTACTGAAGAGCACCCCAACATGGCTCCAGGTTATGAAAAGGTTTTGCAGACTCTCCGACTACCCCTTTCCCAAGGTAAGGAATGCTGCCATCTCCCCTCCTCTATACAAGTAAATAATGGGAGTTGGGTGAGGGGATCTCTTTGAAGTGATGCTGGAATGAGCATGTGTTCATGCAATTTTTTTTCTTATTTGTTCATTTTCATGTAAGATTCAGAATGCAAGAGGAGGAACAATGCTGTGCCTGGTACCCGTTTCAGCTGGCTGATGGAAGGCTGTCCCCAGAGAAGCAAACCTCAATTTGAAAACATACTGAGGTGAAGAAATGGTCTGACTGCATTGGGTAAGATCAGTTTGTTCAGTTTACACTTGAGTAAATAAAGAGATACCAGTTTTCATGTCAACTGGTTTAGCCAGGTACCGTGGGAAAAGACTGGAAGTCTTCACTTCACACGGGATGCCTTATAGAGCAATTATGAGCACAGGCACATGAGGCAAGCATTTGGGAATTAAGGTAGCTTGCTAAGTATAGTACATCACCATTGATACAGTACCTATTCCTATGCATCCCCTTCCCTCCAGGCTAAGCCCCATTTCTCGCGGGATAAGAACACATGCACTGGTGCTGAGGCACTGTGCACTGCAAGCTCACCCTGAACAACTGTGCTGACTCTGTGCTCTGTGCCCAGGAGACTTGTGTTAAGATGTGATATCTTCAGGAGGTAAGGAGGTGCCAGGAACAGCTCTCTGCTGTTCCTTCCATCCACTGCGGATGCATCAGCTCTGCTATTTCCCTTGTTAATTCCTTTTTTACTCCATCAAACATAAACATTTCAATTTCTTCTTGATGAGTCATTGAGAAAAGAGTCCCTCTTTGCCATATACCACTGCACCATTCCTTCACAGGATCTACAGAGCATATACCCCACAAAGGGAATGTGACAGTAACAGGTAAATTAACAGCTTTCCACCCATGTCTTTTCCACTGTTAGATGCCATGTGTAATTGCCAGAGACTGGGCCATTGCAGTGACTGGAGGTTTTAGGGATTGTTGATGGTAGGAAGAGGAGAGGGCACATAATTTCCTCCAAGTCCAAAAAAGAGATGAAAAGTGCATCTAGATATTCTCAGATGAGTCACTTATGAAGTACCATTCATACTTCTAAGGCCTTTTCTGAAGAGGGTGCATATTAAAAAAAACCAAACTAAAGAAGTTACAATTTTACAGACATTAGCTAGTGTGAACCATCACCGGATCCAGTGACTGAAGTAATGACAACGTATACAAACAAGGATCTGGCATCAACAGTAACAAAGCTACAGGAGTTAGTAGGGCTGTCACACTGAGCAGCTGTACCAGTTCTCAGTCTTTCACAAGTAGGCACAAACCCAGAGCTGTGCTGGAACAGTCAATATCTGATATACAGAACAAGCCAAATTTAGTGCAATTGTCATTTTGAGCTTAAAAATACTTTGAAAGCCTTCACACCTTTTGAAACAACTATTATTTTTTTTAAGGCTATAGTTTCTGTATAAAAAGGATTTCTAGGTTATACAAGAGATGAATCTAAAGAAACTGCTCCTTAAGAGGTATTGTTAAGCAGGAGTGCACAGAGTCAGGAAAAGTTACTAAGGGTTATTTGTAGTTTAAGCAAACTGCAGGCTACAAGTCATTAGTGTCTGTCTCTGTATGATGAAGCTCTACGGGCGTTGTTACAATCACAGTCCGGCCAGGCATGAAATTTTTCTGGACAGTGCCTGACTGTCATATATGAATGCCAAATTAATCTTTCATTTGTTTTAACCAGTCATTTAGAAGTGTGACTGTTTTATGGAGCTAAGTTAGAGCAAGAAGAGGATGTAAACTTCACTGCAGCCTGGGTAAATAACTTTGGATGCCCCACAGAACCCCTCATTTGCGGTGAACCACCTGATTTATTTTTTTTTAAAAAGCTGTTTCAGCACTCAGGAGACAGACCCACGAAGGCGGCAGCACACGCGGGTGTGAAGCGCAACCTGGGAGCGCTCCCGAACCCTTTCCCCGCCGCGGAGGTACCGCGTCCCTTCCCCCGTCCCTTCAGCACCCCCCGGCGCGGACGGGACGCGGTCCCGGCCCCCGTCGCTATTCCCTTCCCTCCCGGCTGAGCACGGGGACAGCGCCCTGTGTTCCCCCTGCTCTCAGGCGTCTCTGAGCTCGCCCCCAGCCCCCAGGGGGGCTCCCCGGTACTGCCGCGCCCCTCACTCACCTGCACCCGGGCTTCCGTCAGGTCCAGGCGCAGGGCCAGCTCCTCTCTGCGGGGGCACACACGGTTAGCGCCGGAGCCTGGCGGCCGCCCCGCACAGCCCCCCCCGCCCGCCCCTCCCGCTACCTGGTGAACACGTCGGGGTAGTGCGACTTGCGGAAGGCGCGCTCCAGCTCCTCCAGCTGGAAGGTGCTGAACGTGGTGCGGTAGCGCCGCTGCTTCCTCTTCACCGGACCGGGCGCCTCGGGGCCGGGCGGGCGCCCCCCGCGCCCCTCGGCCGGCGAATCCTCCGTGGGACTGCGCGCCCGGACGGGCCGCGGCGGTACCGAGCGCTCCGCGCCTGCGGGGGAGAACCGCGGAGTTACCGGGGCGGGCGGGGAGCGCCCCGCCGCCCCTCACCGTGCCCACCGCGCCGCCCGCACCGCACCGCCCCTCACCGTGCCGGCCCGCGGCGGGGCCCCGGCCCAGGATGCTGTCGATGAAGTAGGAGGTGAGCAGGTGCAGGGCCGGCGGGGCGGCGGGGGCTGCGCTCTGCATGGCTGCGGGCCGGCGGCGGGGCAGGGCCCCCGCGCCGCTCCCGGTTTTATGGTGGCGGGCAGCGCCCGGCTCCGCGCCCCGGCATTAGCATTTCATTAGCGCGTGGCGTCAAGGCCGGGGGTGGGACGCGCCGGGCCCCACTCGCCGCGCAGGGGCCGGGCCGCCTCCCCCGGGGGGCAGGGAGAGCCGCCCCGTCGGGGCAGCCCCGGGGCAGGGCGCTGCCCTGGTGCCCTGCCCTGCCCTGCCCTGCCCTGCCCTGCCCTACCCTGCCCTCGGGCCTTACCGACCGCTCCCGCGGGCCGGCGGTAACTTTTTCAAGGCTCCTTCGAGGGCGCGGGGCGGCTGCGGTGAAGTCGATGCCTAAGGCATCAAAGTTGTGCGGCTGGGTCGGCAGCGGGGCCTGACAGCTCCCGGCTGAGCCCCGGCAGTGTGAGGGGGATCACTCCCTCTCACAGAGGAAGAAGGATCGCTAGAGTTTGCCTTTATTGCTTCCGATGAACTTGAACTTTTTGAATTCAGCGTTTTAAGACTGATCTTGCAAAGTGCCGTGTGCCGGCAGGTGCAGGGGGAGCATACAAACCCAGGCAAGATTGAGCCCTTTTTCCTGGAGATCTCTGATTCCACTCCTGCTAGAATTCTGTTGTGTGTGCTGTTACAGCAATGATTCCTCAACAGGAGGTCTGGAAACTATTTCCTGCGCAGGGAGACTTCCATCAGTTCTCTGATCTTACTGTGGTGTACTGATAGAGACTGACATAAATTAGATGATGAAATTACTCAGTCCCAGGGTCTTGATTTTGGGGGTTGAGGATGAAATACTACTTTCTAGTGTCTTACAGAGTGCAGCAGAAAGGGGCTAAAAAAACCCCAAAAGTGGCTGAAAGCTGAAGCCAGACAAATTTAGATTAGAAATTAGATATAGATTTAAAAATCTGTGGGTTTATAACTAACTTTTGAAACAATGTAGGTGGTGGTTTTCTCTGTTCTTTGTCTGTCTTTGCATCAAGGCTCGATGGTTTACGTTCTAGCTGAAGATGTAAAGGCCGTCAGTGCAGGGATGTTTTCTGAATCTGTGACCTGCCTTACACCACATGTCTGGCTGAATAATCTTTTGGTTCCTCCTGGCACTGTAGTTCATGAGCAAATGATTTTTTCCTTTTGTCTTCCACTCACCTCACTGGGGCTGTGTGGGTGTTTAGTGCTTCTGTCTTTGTTACTGACAGACCTCCTTGCTGTCTCACTGCTCTGCTGCAGGGCTCTTCATTGAGTCAGCCCTCAACTTCACTCCCTTCACTACAAGAATCGTGTTTGGCCTGAAGCAACACCTACATGAACCTATTCCTGCAGCACCTTCAGATGAGAAGGTTGGGAAAGCACTTACTGATGCTAACTCTTGAGAAAGTGGGCTGCCTTTGTGAAAGATGACCCGTGGAGAGAGAAGTCTGTGCTGGAGAAGGTTTGCTGGCAAGACTTTTGACCCTGGAGGGGACCCACGTTGAAGCAGCCTGTTCCTGAGGTATTGTACCCTGTGGAAAGGACCTATGCTGGAGACAGAAGAACTGTCTCCCCTGGGAGGGACCCCAGGCTGGATCAGGGGAAGAGTGTAAGAAGTCCTTCCACTCTGCAGGAGGAGCGGCAGGGACAAGGTGTGAACTGACTGCAATCCCCCTTCCCTGTCCCTCTGTGCTGGGAGGAGGTAGGGAATGCAGGACCAAGGTTAAGCTCAGAAAGAAGGGAGTGGGAAAGGTGTTTTAAGGTTTTATGTTATTTTTCATTACCCAACTCTGATTTGATTGGTAATAAATTAATTTCTGTAAATCGAGTCTGTTTTGCCTGGGATGGTAATTGATGAGTGATATCTCCCAGTCCTTATTTCCACCATGAGCCTTTCATTATATTTTCTCTACCTTGTCCAGCTGAGGGGGAGAGTGACAGAGCAGCTTTGGTGGGCAGAGAAACATAGCAATTTGGGGGTGTATCTCATGCTCTATCACCCACAAGCCTCTGGAAAGAATGAGAGATATAATGGGCTGCTAAAGACTATGTTGAGATCATTAGGCAATGGGGCACAGAAACATCTGATACAAATTTACCAGAAGCCACTTGCCTGGTTAACATGAGAATGAATATTAAATATAATAATAAATATATATATATAATAATGGCCAGTCTTCGCGAGCGAAGATTTTTGGGAAAGGTCATTAACCCTTCCAGCCTGCGCAGTGGATTTTTAGGTGAGACACAGCGTGCGCTGAACTGAGCCCACCCTTTAGTCCTGAGGTTCATCTGCCGGGGCCGAGCAAAGCTTGGACAGTGGCAGTGAGGTCCCCAGGATGTAGGTTGAATATTAGTTGAATGTAGAATGAATATTAGTTCAGTGTTAAAGGACAGGGGATATTAGTTAATGAGAATGTATAAAACTGTATTTGGTGTAAAATGGATTAAGTATGTAGTACAAGTTGTACATGTTGGTAAGAAGGGATTTAAGTAATGAGATTTAAATGCAATGACATGGCTAGAAGATGTATATGTATTAAATTATGTGGGACCTGAGCATGATACAAATGATACGGAATAATGGATGGAGATTGTGCTGGGTTTAGCTGAGAGGGAGTTAATTTTCCCCAGAGCAGCCCCCATAGGGCTGTGCTGTGTATTGGTAGAAAGGTGTTGGTAACACACCAGTGCTGTGGCTATTGCTGAGCAGTGCTCCTCAGCATCAGGGCTGTCTCTGCAGCATTCTCACCTCACCCAGTGTGGTGGAGGTGGGCAAGATCTTGGAAGGGGACACAGCTGGGACAGCTGACCCCAACTGACTATATGATGTCTGCTCAGCAATAAAGGCTGAGGGAAAGGATGAGGGGTATGAGGCATTTGTTGTTATGACATTTGTCTTCCAGAGTAACTCCTACGTGTGCTGAAGCCCTACTTCCCAGGAAGTGATCAGACATTGCCTGCTGATGGGAAGTAGAGAATAAATGTTTTGTCTTCCTTTGCTTCCATGCCCGGCCTTTGGTTTTGCATTATTAAACTGCCTTTATCTTGACCCATTAACTTTTTTCAACTTGTTTTCTCCCCTCCCTGTCGTGCTGAGGAGAGGAGGAACAGAGCAGCTTGATGTGCACCTCGTATCCAGTCAAGGTGAACCCACCACACAGCTGTATTTTTTGGATGTTTCCCAGGCAAGTCACACTTACACTGCTGACTTTTAATTTGGTAATTTGGATTTGTATTGTGTCTTGTCATAAGCTGAACAACCTGTCTTGTAGTTGCTGCCTAATGCCATTGAAAGATGCCCCAGAAGAGTGTGATCTAAATGACTTTTTCATCACTTCTTGTTTAACCAACCTTGTTGCTACTGTTTTCATGGTTTTCTTTGACTCCCATACAAAGTAAAATGTGACAGATGACTCATAAAGCTCACCTTGTCCACAAAGTGTTTGAAAAATGAAAGGAAGCATATGTGTGTGTTTGTGGATGACAGCAGAGTTGCAATTGCATGAGGGGGACTTGTGTTTGATGTGCTTGAAATGTTTCTTGGTGTGTTGATAATGTGCTTCAGCATTCCTTACAGAGCTTTAAATACATAAATGCATTTTAATTAAGTTTAGTATTTAGGCCTAAAAAACAAAGCCTGACTATATTTATATTGAAAGAAAGTTCTGAGACAAAATATGATGAAATTAATGGGAAAAATTTCCTGAAGAAAGTCCAAGGAGTTAGTTTGACAGCTCAGCCTGAAGCTTTATTGGCTTGAAGAAGAAAGATATCTGTTTGAGAGATCTAAGTGCAAAATTTGGGAAAGGCAGAAGTGATTCTGATGAGAACTCTGAGTCAGCTTTGGTTGATGTTATAGGAACTACATCCTGAAAAGTGCTGAACACCTTTAATGCCATATAATTAATGTTTTGTATTCTAATTAATACAATTGGTATCTCATTCTATTTCTGTTTTACACTGAGGCCTGAAGATCTGGGTGAACTTGAAGATCAGCACCTCTCTTTCTTTTTACGGGATTAGATCTTATGTGTGGCAATCCTGTAAATACTGGGGAACTGCAAGACTGAATGTTGTGGGACAAAGCCTTAGTTGGCATGGTTAAGTTCTCTCAAGCCAGTTGATACTTATTATACCAGCTGCACCTGAGTGCAGTAACTCTTTTGTAATGGAATCACAGTAAGCTGGTTTCCCATTTCAGTTAATAACTTCTGGAAATAATGTAAGTGCTTTTTGCTGATTAGGCATACCTGACTGCTTGGAAAGAAAATGTGTGTGCAGTACATGGCAATTCAGCTTCCCTTTCTGTGCTGCATATTCAAGAGCACAGCAAAGTATTAGTTGGAAGACAAATGAGATAAGAATCGAGGTGTTGCTGACTAACTCTGGAGAAGCCAATTGTGTTGAGGTGGTGGATGCTGCTGTCACTGTGCTCATTCTGACCAACCTGCTGGGAGCAGATGCCTTTCTGTTGTGTCCCTGTCCAAATATCTTGGCAGGCTCAGTTTCAGATCTGTTCTTTCCCCCTCTGCAGACTTTTGAATTTATGCAGGCCAATAGAGTGAGAGCCTCAGTCTTCCCTTTGTGCATTTGGTTCTTGAAGGAGATTGTTCATGAAGGACTGGCATGTAAGAGGTTCCTGTTAAAATTATATGAAAATATTGTGAGAGATACCTTGAACAACCTAAACCTGAGTATTGTCTCAGCAGCCTTTGTAATGCACTATTTCTCAAAACCTTTAGATGAAAAGTGACAAGCTCTTTGCTGCATGGGTACCTCTGGCAGTGCTGTTATGATATTGTAATATTTACTGAGTCTACTAAAGCCACCACTTTTTGGGTCAGAATTAAAGGAGGCTCTCATCTCTTCTAAAAGTAAAAAATGTATGTTCTAACTTCTCAAAGTTTCTAGAATTTGCTTTTATGGAGAAACATTTAAAAACTGGTAAAGCCTACAGTCCCGCAAGTCCAGGAATAAATAAAAACAAATCAACATTAGTTTATTTTTTCTTAGAAAATGCCAGATAATAGCTTAAC